TCCAGCCCATCCTCCTGCCTCCCCTCGGAGGGTCGGAGGGTTGGGCCAAATCTGACCTGTTAAACGGAAGCATTTAGTTGGAGATCAAGCCCTAGAAAGCATGCAGGGTGGCCAGTCAGCTATCCTGCTCTCATGGATCGTGGATCTCTCTGCCCCTCAGCCTGCTCTCAGGTTTTGTTGGTTCCATCACCAGGGGCTTTGGGATGACTTCCCGGGGGGGCCATGAGTTCTCAGCCTCCAAAAGAAGGGCCCCCAGGAGCAGAAGGAAGCCAGAGAAAACAAAGAGAGTGGCCCAAAGTGGGGTGATCTGGCCGCCGCCCTCTCCTCCCTGCACCCAGATGTGGGGCTCAGGGTGCCGCACAGGCAGAGTGAGAGGGAAGCTTTGTGACTCACGGAGTGTGCCCCACCCTCCCGCCAAAGGATGCCAGGGAGTGCCTGTTCTGGAGGAGGTGACTTGGGGTCCCCACCCCCACCCCTCGCTTTCCCGGCAGACAACCCCAAGGCTGGCGGAGGCGGTATGGAGACACGAAGACACTGCGGTTTGTGGCTCTTGGCCCTGGCTGGCCTCTGGGCTGTGCCTTCCCTGGGCTCCCACTAGTCTGGCCGCCGCCCTGCCCGGCCGGGTTGTGAGGAACTGAAAGGGGGGCTTGGCGGGTGCGGAGGAGAACAGCAACCCAGAATAACAACCCTGGTTCCTCGGCCAGGCGTCTCCAAGGGCTGCCACTCACTGTGCCCTCCTGTGACACCTGGGTGGCCGTGTGGGGCAGCCCGGCCACATCCACCTCTCCCGGCGCCGCCAACAGGGAAGGGGTTCGCCTTCTCCAAGTTTCTCACGCAGGGGAGAGGCCTGCATTCTTCCCTCACTCTCAGCGTCCCCACCCTTCCCGCAGTCCACCCGGGGCCGCCGCCTTGGCTTCCCAGCCCAGAAGTCACCCAGCCTTGACCTGTGTGGGCTTGTTTCTCGGGTCGTGTCTGGACGTCTGCGGCTGCCCAACTGGTCTCCAGCCCCCGCCCGCCCAGCCATCCTGCCCAGTCCGCCACCAGACTGTCATCTCAAGGAGCCCAATCCAGTCGTTCCCACAGCAGGGAAGCAGAGCCCAGTTCCCTAGCCAAGGGGCCCGTGTAAAGTCAACGGACCCTATGGGGTGCGTGCCGTGCGGGGGAGTGAATGAGTCGGCAGGTCCACGGGCTTCCTGGGCAAGGGGGTGTCTGAGCTGGGCTCTGAAGGATTTGCAGATGGAGGGGGGGATTTGAACAGGCAGTGATCAGGAGGAAGGGCATGCCGAGGTGGGCCAACAGCCTGAACAAAGGCTCAGAGGCTTGGACTGGTCTGTAGTGCTCACCGGTCCGGCTGGAGTGTCAGATGTCCCAGCCTGAGGCAGGGGAGGTGGGCGGCAGCCAGATGTAGGAGAATTCAAGCCCCCAGCTGGGGAAGCTGGACGACCTTCTCTGGGCAGAGGGGCTGCCGAAGGCTCAAGGTGACGTGACTGGATCCGTGCTCGGGAGAATGGCCGTGAGGGCAGGGGTGAGGAGGAGGAAGAAGGCAAGGAGATTTACGTGGTAACCCAGGCAGGACTGGGTGTGAGCCTCAGTTCATCCCGCGGGTATTTCTTTAGTGCTTCCTATAAGCTGGCACTGTTTGAGGCACAGAGGAATCCGACAAACCCAGTCTGTGCTCTTGGGGAGCTGGAAGTCCAGTGGGGATACACACAAGACTGTCCCATAGGGTGACGAGCTCTGGAAGAAAGTAAAGGAGAGCAACCAAGGGCGGGGCAAGGTGGAGGGAAAGCCAATGAGTTTTCCTGACTCAGCTGCTCCCCTGCAGGAACCCGCTGAGACTGGGCACGTGCCGACATCCCCCTCTGCACGCGGTGGCCCCTGCACGCGGTGGCCCCAGGAGCCCCCTCCCTGCATACCACTGTATCCTCCCTGACCCCATCTGGCTTCCCCTCTGCTCCGAGAGCAGTTCTTCTCTAACCTTGACCTCCTAGCATGTGTCCCCAGTGAAATGCGGAGAGGGTTGAATTAAAATTAAACATCAGGCCTACCTCTGGTCACGTGACCCTCTTCCTCAGGAAACCTGTCCTTCAAGGCCATCCACTGATTGGGCGAGGCCCACACACATGATGCAAGATCCCCTGCTTTACTCAAAGCCTACTGATTCAAATGTTCATTATGTCTAAAAAAAAATCCCTTCAGGGGCAGCATCTAGGCTGGTATTTGACCAAACAACCAAACTGTCGCCTAATCAAGTTGACACATAAATTTAACCATCAAACCTGTTTATTTATCTAATCATCTCATTCCTGATAGAACACTGCCAAGAGATAAAAGGCAAGGAAACGGAACTTATTCCTCCCGTTGTCGGGTGAGAAGACTGAGACTCTCCAGGGACCAAGCACATCACTCCTTCTACCTTCTTGTTCATCCTATCGGCCCCCTTGGCCCACATCCTTTTGTCCCGCCTGCCTTGCAAGACTTCACGCACATAGCATGTCAGGCTCTTGGGTCACCATGACGGGACACGTCATTCCCTGTACTCACCCGAGATCCTCTTTCCAGGAAGTGCTTTCTCTCTGGTGACTTGAGGCACAGGGGATTCCAACAAACCCAGTCTGTGCTCTTGGGGACTGGCAATCCAGTGGGGAGACACACAGGACCATGCCACATGGTGACGAGCGGTTGGGACCCCTCCTCTGTGCTTATCCCAGGGCATTGCAAACACACCTGGTTTTGAGGGCACAAACCGCGATTCCCTGTGTGATATCCCTAGCCCTGGGGCGCCTGGGTGGCTCAGTCGGTTAAGCGACTGCCTTCGGCTAAGGTCATGATCCTGGGGTCCCGGGATTGAGTCCCGCATCGGGCTTCCTTTGCTCTGCGGGGAGCCTGCTTCTCTCTCTGCCTCTGCCTGCCACTCCCCCTGCTTGTGCTCTCTCTGTCAAAATAAATAAAATCTTTAAAAAAAAAAAAATATCCCTAGCCCTTGTCCTAGCGTGGGGCACACCAGAGAGCTCCTGAGACACCGGGCTGTTGAAAGAACAAATGATGGAGTCCCTGGTTATCTCAGGGAAGGAGCCCACGCCAGCATCTATGTGTCCCGACCTCTCGTTCAGCACCTTGCCCTCGAGTATAGGACAACCTGTCCAGCCCAGCTGTACTTCTTGCAATGTGTTCCCTGCTTCCTGCATGCTCCTTTATGGCCGGCACTGTGCTAGGCACCCGACAAGCATTGTCACTTCCTTCCCATAACAACCCTGTGGGATGGATATGATCGTTCCCATTTGCCAGATGGGATATTGAGGCTCAAAGAGTATAACTCTCATAAAACCGCATAGCTATGGAAAATGGCGGCACTGACATTCGAACCCAGATCTGCTACTGACTCCAGAGATGGAACACTCATCAGTGCCAACAGGCCACGCCACGTCCTCAACTAGGGGCTGGGGACAAAGAGACAAAGCAAACAAGGGTCCTGATTTCACGGAAGTTGAGGTCTAGTGCAAGAAGACGGATGTGCAAGAAGTCAGCGTGAAAAGCATCAGAGCAACATAACCTCAGGGCTCCAGGAACATGTATTTTGGGAAATTAGAGAAGACGGCTGTCTGAGCTGGGCTTGGGGAGGGCAGGAAGGGGAGAATAGGGAATATTCTGGGCGTGGGGGGTGCTTGGTGGGGAGGAGAAATCAGGCTAGAAATCTAGGCCAGGAAATGTTATTTCCCATTCCTGAGCAGTTTATAGTAAAACCTTGGAGTGGAGCCTGTAATCCACGTAGGGTTTCTGGAGCAGGCCAATAACATCATTTCACCTGCCTCAGTTGAGCTCTGTAACCCAAGCCATGAGCCCTCCTCTGGCACAAGTGGTCCTTCTCTTGAGCTGTTTGTCTTTGTCCTTTTCTCCCTTTTTTTTTAAAGATATATTTTTATTTATTTTTATTTTTTCAAAGGTTTTATTATTTATTTGAGAGAGAGAGCACAAGCCAGAGAAGGAGGGATAATCTCTAGACTCCCCGCTGAGCACAGAGCCCCATATGGGGCTCGATCCCAGGACTCTGAGATCATGACCTGAGCCGAAGTCAGATGCCCAACCGACTGAGCCAACCAGGCACCCCAAAGATTTATTTTTAAATAATCTCTATACTCAACATGGGGCTCGAACTCACAACCCTGAGATCAAGAGTCACACGCTCTACTGACTGAGTCAGCCACATCCCCATGAAGTGGTCTCTCCCTTGAGCTGTCTTTTTTTAATTTTATCTGAGAGAGAGAGAGCCCACGTTCGAGTGTGGGGAGGAGCAGAGGGAGGGAGAGGGAGAGAATCTCTAGCAGACTCCATGCTGAACACGGATCCCGGCGCTGGGCTTGATCCCACAACTTACCTGAATCTCCAGCCTGCCCTACCGGTGTCGGACTTGCCAGGCACTGTGATCCCATGAGCCAATTCCTTACAATTTCTCTCTCTCTGCACATACACACACACCCTATTGGTTCTATATGGTTCTGTTTCTCCGGAAAACCCTAATATAATATTATTGAGTATGTTACATATATTACGTCTCTGCAATATTATATATTTATCATAAACAAAAAAACCCCACTTGTAAACCTTTTGTAAGCACTTAATGGGTGCCAGGCACCTGCTAAGCTCTTTGCGTGTCTCTCATGATGCCCCCTTACTCCTCTAAAGACTCCATGACATCATCTGTGATCGGTCCCATTTCACAGATGAGGATACTGAGGCACAGAGGGTTCAAGTAATTTGCCCAAGGTCCCAAAGTGATAAAGCCAGGTTTGGATCCGGGTAGTCCCATTCCAGTGCCTACATGTGGTGGGTTCTTTTCTTTTCTTTTTTAAAAGGGAGAGAGAGAATCTTTTTTTTTTTTTAATTTATTTATTCATTTGAGAGAGTGAGAATGAGAGAGAGTACATGAGAGGGGGCAGGGTCAGAGGGAGAAGCAGTCTCCTCGCCGAGCAGGGAGCCCGATGCGGGACTCGATCCCGTGACTCCAGGATCATGACCTGAGCCGAAGGCAGTTGCTTAACCAACTGAGCCACCCAGGCGCCCGTGGTGGGTTCTTTTCTGCTATGGAACATGTGTGTAAAGCAAGACACGTGACATAACTGACAAGCAATGTAGTTTTAGTTGTTATAGTTACCACTGGATGGGCAGGGGGCAGGGGGATGGGGAGGGTGTGAGTTGTGGCCCAGGGTCCTGGAAGTGCCAGGTCCCGAAGGTGCAGCCCTGGGAATAGCACTGAACAGGCTGCTTCTGGATGTGTGGGTCCAGGCTGGGAGCTGGGAGTCTGGGAGTCATTTTTAGGGGACTCCAGGAGTAGCCCTCTACAGGGCAGGTGGGCTCTGGAAGCCCCTTCCTCAGGCCTTGGGCGGGGGTTACGCTCTAGTCCAGGGATTACAGCCCCAGGGTCAGGGGCCCGGCCTTGGTGGTGTCCATCTGTTTGAGGTGCAGTTCGGTGATCACAGCCTCGGGACTGGGTCCAGCCCAGCCAACTGGGCAGCTCAGCGCCCAGCTCCTTCCTGAGCTGCTGGGGGGGTTGGGGCAGGGAGGGCCTCAAGATGTCAGGTCACCACGCAACAGCTCCGGGTAACCCTCCTCCAGAAGTTGCGACTGCGGCTGCTGAGGGCCACCTGCGCTGCTTCCTGGAAGACCGCGTGGACGTTTTCTTGGAGCAGGGCTGAGCACTCGAGGTAGGCCACTGCACCCACGGACCTCGCCATCTCCTGGCCCTAATAGAGAGAATGGAGGGGGCTGCCTTGAGGTGGCGGCCTCTGGGCAGGGGGAGAGCTCACATCCTGCCTCCCCATAGCCCTCTTGGCCATCCTAGGGAGTCTCCAGGACAAAAGTGGAAGGTGAGTTTTTCCAGGACACCCACAACTCCTGCCCCTAGGTTGACCAAGCACTCTCATGGCTTCCTTGGGTTTCCTGCCTCAGTTCTGGGATACGTCCCTGCCTCTCAAGGCACCAGCTAACCCACTTCACAGATGTGTAGCAGAGAGGGGCCTGTGGCCTGAAGAGCTATGGCCTCAGCTTCCCTATCTGCGAAGTGGGTGGGTAGGATTACCTGAATGGGCACACCACCCGCTCTCCCTTCCATAGGCAGAATCTTCTAGAGTATTCTAGGTACCATTTCCAAGCCCAGACCATTCCAAGATGACCCCTACCCTGACCCACCCCCTGAGTGTGCTGGACGCTGCTGAGAGGCTGGGCGGGATCAGCATACCCCGAGGTTCCCCCTCCCCACCCCTGGGCTGGGTTTCCTACCCTGTGGTAGGTCACAGGCTCCAACCTATTTTTCCGCAGCTTCTTCACCAGCAACTTGTCCTTGCGCAGGTCAGTCTTGCAGCCCACAACAATGATGGGCACCTCCTTGCAGAAGTGGTTCACCTCTGGGTACCACTGGGAGGGTGGCAGTGTGGGTGTGTGTGTTAGCCAATGGGATTGCTGTCCCTCCCCACAGATGGGGAGAAAGGGCCACCCTCTCACTCCCCAGGTGGACTTCAGCAATGATTATCAGCGCAGCCAACATTTACGGAGAATTACTCTGTGCTAGGCTCTAAGACTTCACATGTATGAACTCTTCAATCCCCCAAGTCCCTACAAAGCAAGTTCTGTCATCAGGCCCATTGTACAGAGTGCAGTAACTGAGGCTCGGAGAGGCTATATAACTTGGCCTTGGTCACACAACTGGAAGTGGCAGGATTTGAGCCCAGGGGCTGGGGCCCAGAGCCCTGCTCCCGCATGGTCTAGAATCCTGCCACTCTGCAAGGTAAGGGGCCCCAGGACCGCCTCCCAAGTGGGTAAAATATATGAAGAAATAAGTCATCCTTTAAAAATAAAGCAGCTCACAAAATGGTTGCAGCAGCTGTTTGCCTGTTGGAGGGAACACTCCTATTCTGTGTCAGCTGCTCTCTGGAATGCGAGGCTCCAGGGCCTGGTTATTTCAGCCTGGGCAGCAACTGGGGAGTCTAGAATCCGGAGACAGGGGATTTATATCTCCAGGAGTGCATGCCTACTCAGTTTGTCTGTTCAGAAAAAACTGGCATCAAACCATCTGGCTCCCGGAGCCAGATGGGGCCCGGGTGGGGTCCTGGGCTTACTCCCCATACTCCAACCCCTCTACAAAACTGCGCCTGATCCTGGTCTCCCCCGTGACTTCACCTTGCTAAATCCAACACTGAATCCTCAGCCTTCATCCTGCCTGAGCCCTGGCACCAGGCAGGGATCTCTCCCTCCTCTACCGCCTGGTTGGCACTTTGCCCTAGGACCCTGCTCTCTTGCTTCTCTCCAGGTGACCTTCCCATGTGCAAGGCTCTTCCCCACCAGTGGTTCCTAAATGGATCTGCCCAGCTCAGCCTGGCCCTCTCCCGGGAGCTGCAGACTCAGACCTCCAGGTCTACCTGGCCCTCCACTGCGATGTCCAACAGGCCCCCATCTCCCACCTCCCTACCCTCCACTTGCTCCTTCTCATCTTGGGAAATGGCAAGGCCGCCTTCCATTCGCTCTGGTCAAAACATCTCTCCCACTCCCAACCTGGGGATAATACTACTATTGGCTCTATCAGGTTGTTAGGGGCAGTAGATGAGTGAATGGGCAGAAGTGCCCAGAACGGTGCTTGGCCTGAGCGAAGTCCTCAGTCAACATTACCATCGCTGTTGGGGTTCATGTTACTCATGCCGTCACCCGCTGTGCTCCGATGAACCCCCGGCACGCTGTTTGCATGCCCTTCGCCTGGAGGCCCCGGCAGCAGCAGGGCAGGAGCAGAACAACTCAAGGGCCCACACCCCTGGCACCTGTGGGCAGTGAGCAGCCTTGGGAACCCCTGACATGCCTGGGGGGCATCTTGGGAGGCTGCTGAAAGCTAGCAGTTACACAGAAGGGGGCTGCCCATACATGCAACCTCGGGCAGGCCCAGGCTGGGGAGATGCGGGGCCTCTGGGCGACCCAGCATACTCAGGTAGGTCACGGTGGAAAGAGCCACAGCATTCTCAGTCCAGACCCTGCCACCAAATCCCTAAGGGACCTCTGGCAAGTTGCTGCCTCTGCACTGGGCCTCAGTTTCCCCATATACACACCAAAGGTGCTGGATTCAGTGTCATCCGGGGCCTGCTATGCTCTGACAGGCTGCGGAGTCAAGGCTGGGGACAGAGCAGGGTGGCCTGGCTACCGGGGCTGTACCTCCCCGGGGCCCTGGTACCTACCCGGTTGAAGATGTTGTCAAAGCTGTGCGGGCTGGTGACATCGAAGCAGAGGAGAAGGACACTGGCGTCGGGGTAGAAGAGGGGCCGCAGGCGGTCATAGTCAACTTGCCCTGGGGAGAGTGGGGGTGGGCACTCCCTTCAGATCTTCCCCAACATCAGGGAGGTCATCCCAACAGATGGGGGAGCCCGGATCAGGGCGTGGTTGTGTGCCTCGTGGTCTGATTTAAATGTGGTGCCTGGGTGGCCACTCCACGTGAACGTTTCCCTCCAGGCAGTATTCCCCTGGCTTGCCCGTAGGCTGTGTTAGCCCTGGTCTGGGTGAGACCACTTGCTGAGAGAGCCCTGTTCTGGTAGGAGTCGGAGACAAGGCAGAGGTCTCGCCTGCAGGGACAAAGCCTGCTTTGCGCTGGGCTTTGCCCTGGGCTTGGGGGGTGAGGAGTAGGAAGCAGGTAGGACCCAGGACAAAGGCCCCTTATCCCCTGCATGGTCAGGGGGCTGCTGGGATACCCTGGGGTGAGCTTTCAGTTCTGGTGTGGATTTGACTGAACCCTACGTGGATAAGGTCAGGAAGCTGGAGGGCAGAGGTCAAGGTCAGGCAGATCTTACAAAAGCTAAAGCCAGGGTGGAATGCTTAGGAGGCCAGGAATAGTTTACCCCTTGAGAGAAAAGAGCTCTGGATCCCCCTTGTCTCCGGGACACAGTTGGCTACCCTCTGTTGGGGGAGGCAGCAGATGCAGGCGCAGGAGCAAAGAAGGTTCAGGTTCCTGGGGACCCTAATCCTGGCCAACACCTGTCCCTGGGAGATTGGTGAGACTGGCTGGGCCTCTGTGGTTCAGGAGGAAGGGGGCAGGGCTTGGCTCCTGGGCATGGGGGGCCCCCGCCTCCCACCTGCACACCCACCTGCTGTGTCCCAGATTTGGAGGTTCAGGGGTTTGCCCTTCATTTGCAGATTAACGGCGAGCCGCTCAAACACAGTGGGGGTGTAGCTCTGAGGAAGAAGGGGGCAAGGCGGAGGCTGTGAGGACAGCTGCTGAAGCAGGGTGGGCCCCGGTGCCCAGGCCAGAGCCCTTGAATGCCTGCAGCACCCCCTGCCCCTTCTTTGGGAGTCTGACAGTCTGAGGGAGGGAGTTTCTGGGAAGTAGGTGGCCAGTGGGGGTGAGGCCTAGAGCTGCCACCTCCTAGCTGTTTGCCCCAGTGCGGCACGGAACCTCCCCAGGCTTCTCAACTGTAAAGTGGGACTATGAAAAGCCCCTACCGCAGTGTGTTGCCGTAAGGATTCAGAGCAGAGCCTGGCACACACCCCACATGTACCAGCTACCGTTATTTTTATCTTTGTCCCCTTGGATGGGGGACTGTCCCATTTCTGAGCCTTCCTTCATGCTGTCCCCTCCTCCTGGAATGACATTAACCTACATTTGCTCGTTCGATTGTTCATTCATTCATTCATATATTCATTCAGTAAACAGTGGCACCTTCTCTAGATAGCTCCCCAGATCTCTGGATACTGGGGAGCAAGTAATAAATTAGACTCACTGCCTACTCTGGGGAGCTTGTGGCTTTGGGGGGGGTCCCTGCTTTGCTTCTCAACCTCTCATAATCCAACCAAGACCCCTGCCCCATGCCACCTCCCGCAGGAGGCCCTTCTAGATCCCTTCCCACATCCTCTCCATTTCTGCCTTTCTTTCTTTTTTTTTTTTTTAAAGATTTATTTATTTATTTGAGAGAGCGAGAATGAGAGAGAGAGAG